TTGTGGAATATGTGGGAACCAATATGGGCATCCAGGTCCCGTTGTTGGTTATTGACCGGAGAGGTGTCTCGATCATGTCTACATGATTCTCGAACCCGTAGGGTTCGCACGCTTAACGTTCGGTGACGCTAGAGTAGTATTGGGATATTCATGTTGGTGACCGAATGTTGTTTGGAGTCCAGGATGAGATCCCAGACGTCACGAGGAGCTCTGGAATGGTCCGGAGGTAAAGATTTATATATGGGGAGTCATATTTTGGCTACCGAAAAAGTTTCAAGTTTTACTGGTATTGTACCAGGAAACTTCGGGAAGGTTCCGAAAGGTTCTAGAAGGTTCCGAAGGGTTCTGGAGGAGTCCGGAAAGGTCCCTCCAGCACCTAGAGTGTGCATGGGTTGTAAGGGGGCGTCCTAGCCTTATTGGGCCAGGCGCACCAGCCCCCTAAGGCCCATCCGCCTAGGAGAAGGGAAACCCTAAGGGGGAGGGCCCTCCACTTGGCTTGGAGGGCACTCCTTCCCCTTTGGACGCCTCCCCTCCTTGGAGGAGGGGCTAGGGCTGTGCCCTCAGCTCTCCAACACCCCTATATATAGTGGGGAGGAGGGGCAAGGGTTGGACACAACAATTCCCATGCCCTGCGCCCTCCCCTCTCTCCCGTTCTTCCTCATTCGTAGTTCCGGAGGCGCTTGGCAAAGCCCTGTTAGGATTGCTCCACCACCATCTCCACCATGCCATCGTGCTGGTTGAGATTCCATCTACTTCTCCTCCCTCTCTTGATGGATCAACAAGGAGGAGACGTCATCGATCTATATGTGTGTTGAACGCGAAGGTGTCGTCTGTTCAGCGCTAGATCGGATTGGATCGTGATCGGATCACGAAGAGTACGACTACATCAACCGCGTGTTATACGCTTCCGTTTAGCGATCTACAAGGTTATGTAGATGCAATCTCTCCTTTCGTAGATGTTAATCTCCTAGATCTATCTTAGTGAGCGTAGGAAATTTTTTGTTTCCCATGCAACGTTCCCCAACAGTTTCCTTGTTACTGGTTTTGTTCTCTTTTCTCGTTATCGCGTTCCAACATTCCCGTGATCAAATCACGATGTGTCTGGCAGACGGTGATGGATATTGTAACACCAAAAGGGCTCAAAGAGTATCTCTCTATCATCAGAGGAGCAATTCCAATTTTGAGCTATCAAGTCCCTTGTCATACTTCTCCATGAACCTGAAAGCCGCGTAATAGCCACCCTGTTACGACTGATGTTTAACTAACTCCAAAGTTCATGAAGCAAGCATGAAGTAACTTGATACTCTCTTTTTTAAAATAAAACATCAAACTTTATTCATTAGATATAACAGTTACATCGTCAGTAAGGAAAGATACAATGTCATCCATAGGCTCCTCAAACCAATCCCTAGTTACAAAAAAAAATCGCTAGCCTAGCAATTTCATGAGCAACCTTATTTGCTTCCCTATTACAATGTTCAAACCTCGTAACAGTACATTCACAAGACATAAAATAGCAATCATCGAACACTGCCGCCGCCACTCTTGCTGATTGTCCTCCATTTTTCATTGTGTCAATCACTTCCAAATTATCCGAGTTGACAATAAGGCGATTACACCCCGCCTTCTGTGCTAGGATAAGGCCAAACCTTAGCGCCATTGCTTCTGATGTTAGTACATCAGCACACCAGTCGATCCTCCAGCTTCCGCCTACAATGAACCTTCCTTTGTCATCTCTGAGGACTACCCCCGCCGTTCCTCTAAGCAGATCATGGTCAAAATAAGCATCAACATTTAGCTTCACAAAAACCATAGGAGGTCTAAGCCATCCCCCTGTTTTACTGATTGCCTTAGGGGAGTTTGCTTTGACATAGTTTGCGGTTATAGCACGAGCCGCCATCGAAGTTTGATATGCATCTTGAGACTTTCCTTCATGAACTAGTCTGCGTCTATCCCACCATAAATACCAAGTTGTTATTGCGATCAATTCACATGCGTTCTGGATGCCCAATTCAGATATTTCTTGATCTCGCATAAGTAGTAAAAATTCAAGAACTGCCTCTCCCGCCCGGTCGATAGCACAAGCTGTATTGATCACTTCATGCAAACCTAACTTAGCCCAGACCTGTTTTGCCTTCTGACACAGAAACAAGACGTGTTTTGTGTCTTCTGGCCCATTAGAACATGATGGGCATCTGGGCGAGACTTTCACGTGTCTATTGGCAAGCGTAACTCGGCATGGGAGGGTACCATGCAATGTACGCCAGACGAAAAAATTTACCTTTGCCGGACAAGATAGCTTCCATATCTTGCTCCAAATAGGATTAGCATTAGCTCTACCCATCCCATTTGTATGTTGCAATCTCCTCCCATGTTGTTGGTTCCGTTCCTCCCAATATGCTGATCGAACAGTAAACAAACCATTTTTTGTAGCTCCAAGCAATGAAGCCGCTCATGTCATGCATCGGAAGGGGAATCGCGAGCACCCTTTGAGCGTCAATTGGCCACAAAGTTTATCTCACTAAGTCTTCATCCCAATAACTCGATCGTGATTGGATCAATAAGATCATATACCTTTGACAGAAGTTGCCCCCCTCTAGGAGTAATTATTTTCCTATTTGCACAATTCGGGATCCAAGCATCTTCCCAGATATCAATATTTTTTCCATTTCCAACTCGCCAGATATAACCATTCCTTAGAGAATTAATCCCCGCCATAATGCTTTGCCAGGTAAAAGAAGAACCCTTCTTTAGATTTGCATTCATCAAATCGACATTCGGGAAATATTTAGCTCAAGATTGTGGCACATAAAGATTCTGGATTATCAAGCAAACGCCACACTTGCTTGGCTAGCAAAGCAAAATTGAAACAATATATATCTCGGATTCCCATTCCTCCTTGGTCTTTTGGAACACACATCTTCCACCACGACATCCAATGCATCCTTTTCTGATTGTCCTCGTCACCCCACCAAAATTGCGACATCGCGTCAATGATTTCTTTGCAAAAAAATTAGGAATTTTAAAGACGGACATGACATAAGTTGGGATAGCTTGTACAACCGATTTAAGTAGGATTTCCTTCCCTCCAGCGGATAACAATTTCTCTTTCCATCCACTAATTTTTTTAATAATACGATCAATTAGGAATTTGAAACAATCACTTTTATCCATACCCACATTTGCAGGCAAACCCAAATATTTGTCATTGAGGGCTTCGGTCATAATATTCAGAGTAGTGCAAACACTAACTTCCTCTGTGCTATAAAATCATTAACTCACGACGAATGTATCTCATAGCATAACATCAATATGAGTTAATTCAACACAAGTGTTCTTCTAACATTGTGTCCTCAAAATTGCCGGGATGGTCATGCCCATGATCAAGAAAACGTGGCCATCATGCGACGTTTGAGCTAGTCTTAGAGACACGACTATATTTTGATCGGACGACCAAAGCGTGAGGCGAATGGACGGTTAGCCACGTGACCGATCCCTCGCAAATACCAGTTTGTTGACGCTTAGCGTGGGCCCACGAATATATCATCATCACTAACCATCAAATTTTCCCAAGAGCAAACACAAAAGTCAAGTGCCTACTGATGAATCTGTACTTTGTAGTAGTAGAAGAATTGTTGGGATTAATGGTGGCTTCAAAATCTATGTATGCACCAAGTTTGTTGCCAATGCTAGTGAAGAAAGTTCTAAAAATATTGATGGTAACCTGTGGTCCATATTTGATGCTATGGTGACTGAAAAGAATTATGATACACCAAGCTACATATATCAACACAAAAATTGGAGATATTCAGTATGGACAAGTCATATCCATATAAGACTCCTATGGTTTTTCGATCCCAATACATAGAGAAAGATCCATTCGGACTCCTTGGGAAGATTCAATTCTAATGCATAGAGAAATGTCCATTCAAACTCCTTGGGAAGATTGGAGAAAAGATGTTGGGGCTCAAGGTTCCATATCACAGTGCAATTATAATGTTTATGTATCTTGCAATTTGCACGAGGTATGATATCATATTGGCAGTGAATGGCTGCTTTTGGTTAGGCCGTGGATTTTCTGAAAGCAGTTGTGGGAGATGTGATGTGGAAAAGTTGATGCAAGCTTTATGTTATGAGAAATCTGTAATGTCATTTGGCAAACTAACTATCTAAAATATGGCCATGAATGTAAAAGAATAGCCCGAAGAGCTGAGAGATTATCTGTACATTGTTTAACAACCATAATTAACACATTACCATATCTTATACTCCATCCGTCCCAAAATAAATGACTCAACTTTGTGCTAACTTTGTACTAAAGATAATACAAAGTTAAGTCACTTATTTTAGGGAGTATTTCTTTGTGGAGGGAGTAATTTTTTGTTTTGCGAATTTCAAGTTAATTGGCCCCATGAAACTGAATAATCTACGAACTGTGGATGTCATTGACAGATCATGTTTAACCTAATTGAGCACACTAATGATTTTACACACCTTGAATATTCAGCTTCAATATAAGAAAAGTTATTCTGAGATAATTGCTGAATAGGATGCAACACGTGAGTGTTGTAGGAAGATAATGCTGCTTGTATTGCAGGTTTTTATCTAGTCAATCGAAGTAGGTATGGAGTAAAAATGTTAATAGCACAGAAAAGAGAATATGCTTGCGATGGCAACCCTCATGACTTATACGACACGTACGACGACAGCAGCATGAGAGACAAATATTTCAGTTTCTTTTTTCACCGAGAACAAGCACACGGTGTGGCCGCTCATGTGTCACAAAAAGAGAACACTCTCTTCCTTGAAGGGCAGTAAGCCAGATAAATAGGTCACTGCGAGTCCTTATTCGGGAAAAAGTGGAGGGGGGAAACATCCATCAGCAGGGCCGGGCCTCCTGCCTCTAAATACATATCCTGGCTAACAGACAGTAAAAAGCACAACAGGTTGACCACGAAAAGGTTAAAATTGCAGGTTGCTTGTAAAGAGGAAGTTTCTTATCAAGCGTTCTCCTTGGCAATCTTCTCAGCCTTGGCAATGACCTCCTCTATTCCTCCAACCATGTAGAATGCCTGCTCTGAAAGGTCATCGTATTTCCCATCCAGAACACCCTGTGACATGTTGACAAGATTCATACAACGGGTCACAAAAGTAACAGCAAGTAATATTGGCATATTTCATCAAAGAAACGAAGCACCACAAAATGCATACATAACAAAACATATGATGTTTTCAACAACACGTGTTCCTAAAACTTGGGAGCTGTTTGTTCGTTCCTGAAATTGACCAGTGCATATCCACCAGCGCAGTAATACTAGGGCACATAATCATACTGATTGGAATATTTGAAAACTAAATGAGGTGATCCAAACACATATCTGGAGTTATACTAGAAACACATGCATAGCTATTTCCTCTGACACTACCAGGTCAATTCAGCTATATCAAGGCCTTGTACAATGCAAGGTGCTTAGGAGAGGTGCTTGAAGAAATAAACCAGGCTTTCTTTAAGCACCAGTGCTTATTTGTACAGGGTAGATGCTTAATTAGGCGTCTCTCCTGAAGAAATAGGCATTGATGCTTCAGAAAAACCCGGTTTATTTTTATAAGCACCTAGCATTGTACAAGGCCTAACCATTATCCTGTCAATGTACCAGACCAAAAAAACAATCACTACTTTTCTAGTGAAATTCCAACCAAAATCCATAGAAACACAACTCTATCAAGAAAATAAGATTTCTAAGTAGCTAGAATTAACACATCTTTTCTTTGGCATAAGTCTATGGGGTGACAATCTAATGTGTGACGCTCCAGCTACTTCCCACATCACAGTGCACTGCATCAGCATCATGTGCACACGCAAGGTGATCAGATGTTAGAGACCACGATCATGGAAACAGACAACGCACAAATGTGCATTATCTAGCTTTTCTAATAAATTCAAATTCAAAGACGATATATCATATGCAGTGTTCATTTTGAAACCACAGAACAACCATTGCAACAAACACAAATAACAAAACCAAATATCTACAGAATATCTTGAGAACACAAATGGAATAAATCAATTTGAGAAGGGTGGGGGAGGGGGGTTCAAACTATTTACCTGGAAACTTTGAACACCCTCCTTAAGCTCAACATACTTTCCAGGTGCGCCTGTGAAAACTTCAGCAACATGGAAAGGTTGGCTAAGGAACCGCTGAATTTTCCTAGCACGAGCGACTGTTAACTTGTCGTCCTCACTGAGCTCATCCATTCCCAAAATGGCAATAATATCTTGAAGATTCTTGTAATTCTGAAGAACCTTCTGAACACCACGAGCAGTGTTGTAGTGAGCCTCGCCAAGAACATGAGGAGACAACATTCTGGATGTGGAATCCAAAGGATCGACAGCAGGATAAATACCGAGCTCAGAAATCTGCCATGTAGCACAAATCAAGTCAAATCGATAACAACCAGATTTCAATCAACAAAAAATACAGCTAAATATTAGGTAGGCAACCTGTCGTGACAGCACGGTGGTAGCATCAAGATGGGCAAAAGTGGTAGCAGGGGCCGGATCTGTCAAGTCATCAGCTGGCACATAAATAGCTTGCACGGATGTAATAGAACCCTTTTTTGTGGTGGTAATCCGCTCCTGCAGCCCTCCCAGGTCGGTAGCAAGGGTTGGTTGGTATCCCACAGCAGATGGAATACGTCCAAGCAGAGCAGACACCTCAGAGTTTGCCTGACATAGAATAACCAGACATACAGCTTTTTCAGGCATAATATTACACAAGTTGAGCAGAAAGCTGAGCATATATGTTTGCGGGTGTCAATTGTGAACCAACTACCAAAGATGTCATTGCTGGTAATTGACATAAGGGTACCTGAGTGAAACGGAAAATGTTATCAATGAAGAGAAGCACATCCTGTCCTTCGGCATCACGGAAATGCTCAGCGACAGTCAAACCAGTCAGTCCAACACGAGCACGAGCACCAGGGGGCTCATTCATTTGCCCATACACAAGAGCACACTTGCTCTCACTCTGCAACAAAACACTAGTGTAAGAAAGATTTATCCAATACATACAAAATGCAGTAATATATTGGACATGTGTTTCATGTACCTGCTTGTCGTCGAGCTTAATGACACCACTCTCAATCATTTCCCTGTACAAGTCATTACCCTCACGTGTACGTTCTCCAACACCAGCAAAGACAGAGAAACCACCTAGAATAAACAAGTGAAACAACTAAGGCAAAATAAACACCTAGAATAAACAAACAGCTTGGCATGACTATCAAGCTCTGCAAAATACTAACCATGGGCCTTGGCAACGTTGTTAATCAACTCCATAATAAGGACAGTTTTGCCCACCCCTGCACCACCGAAGAGACCAATTTTACCACCTCTTTGATAGGGTGCAAGTAGATCCACAACCTAGTGGAAGTAAAATGCTCACATTAGAATTAATATTTGCACAGATAGGAATTCTCTTACTAATCTAAAGATGCCTAACCAATTAGAAGTCATGTGTGTTAAGAAAATAACACTTTAGAAGGGACACTTTAGAAGGGACACCTTAATTCCAGTAACAAGGATTTGTTGCTCGGTAGCTTGCTCAACGAAAGCAGGGGCTTCACGATGGATAGGCAGGTAACTGTTTGTTTCTGCAGCAGAGAGGAGTAATCAGTAAATTAAATTCATATACAGGTAATGATCACAGTTTCAATGCATGTTTAACAGACTTACTTATATCTCCCTTGTGATCAATTGGCTCACCAATAACATTGATAATACGCCCAAGAGTCGCCCTACCAACAGGGACCTACAAAAGTGAACATCACAAATGCATCAACAAAAGCAGAAAAATTATGCTCGAATATAGTGACACCCCCTCCGATTTCTGATATAAGAAGTTTATGACAACAATATGGTTCAAAGTAACACTTGGATTGAATTTCTCAGATTAAAAAAAGTCACTTTGAACTTAAATAATTAAATATTATGAAAATATACTGGGAAATGTATGGTCTTCTGGACCCACCAATTCACACGATCACTTAGTGAGAACCCTGCATGGCGCCCATGCATACTCTGCCTTTCTCACTAATGGATACCTTATCTATGCTTTGAGCAATCCTCAGAGCATAGAGATGCTAAGCCAGAAATTTGTCCCACATGGCATGCACCATCCAGTAACTTTACTGGCTATCTAATTAAATATTTTCATACTCTGGTGATAGGAATCGATATATTAAAACAGTATCAAAAATAGCAACATAAGGACGTCCATGGTTTGCAGAGTGAACGCCTCACATTTGTCTCCTTACCAACAATCGTTACTGAATCAGTATGGCAAGTCCATTGGTAAACTACAGAAATGGATTTACTTTGCACTTGTACCGTCACCAATGATCAGCACCAAATCAGTGTGATGTCAACCCATTCGCTAACTAAAGCCATATATGATTCGCCATTTAATACACAGATCGGCACATACAAATCAAATCCAACACCCACCGATTCGTCATTTCATCAGAATAGAATTAGATCAAAATGAAACATCTCGAACATGACAGAGATTGAGAGGCAGGAGAGGGCAGCATTACAGTGATCGGGGAGCCGGTGTTGAGGACGCGCTGGCCGCGGACGAGACCTTCCGTCCCGTCCATAGCGATGGTGCGGACGACGTTCTCCCCGAGATGCTGTGCCACCTCGAGCACAAGGCGGATGCTGTTGTCGAGCACCTCCAGCGCCGTCAGGATCGGGGGGAGACCCTCGTCGAACCGCACGTCCACCACGGCCCCAATGACCTGGCACACCTCACCCACCGCACCGGCGCCGGTGAATTCATCGGTAATCTTAGTGCCGGTGTGCTTATCGGAGGTGGGTGGCGGCGTGACCGGAGCGGCCTGCGCCGCGGCGGATGACGAGTAGGCGGCGGCGCGGTTGAGCAGGAAGCCGGCCGGGGACGGGCGGTGGAGCGGCGCGCGGGGGCACGGGGAAGGGGAGGCGGCGCGGATGCGGGAGGCGGTGCGTAGGACCGACGAGATGGCCCGGCGGGTGGCCATGGCCGGCGACGAGGGCTTGGATCTAGGTTTGCGAAATGGTCCGCGGGGTGGGGAGTGGCGGCTCCGCACTACGGGAAAGGGTGATAGGGGTTTGGGATCGGGGTCGGGGCGCGGAATAAGGAGAGGAGGGTTGGGGACTGGGGCGTTCTCGGGAGCGGGAGGGTTTCGCGGGTGGGCTTGGTCCTCTGTAGACCGAGATTACTGGAGCGTCTGCTTGCCTATGTATCGTCAGTTTTTATCTTGAAGAGAGATGTGTCATCACTCATTTGTTCATCCTAGTTTTTTTTTGTGGGCGATTTGTTCCTCATCCTAGTTTTTTTTGGGCGATTTGTTCTTTTTTTTTTGAGCATCAGTACAGACACAAGCGCTCATATACACGCGCATACACTCATCCCTATGAACGCACACACGCACACCCTACTCCTATGAGCACCTCCAAAAGACTGAGCCGGCATATCATTTTGAGATTTACGAAGTCACCGCAGGCGCCTCGTCGATTCTGAAATAATCCAGGAATAAATGCGAGCACCAGGATTTGAACCCTGGTGGGCTGGGGATACCACAGTCCCTCTAACCATCCAACCAATAGGTTGGTTCGCTTTTTTGGGCGATTTGTTCCTCATGTATAATTGGCTCTCCAAATAAAATAAAACAGTTCATCTATTTCATCCTATTGTTTTTTCTTAACACAATAGTTTGTTTTATATAATGATAAAGTCAACTAATGTTACGCATAAATAGTCACACCTTAGAGCAAGTGACGACGGGCTTGGGGTGGGGTGTGAAATGACAGCGAGCTCGGTACGGGGAGGGCGTGCGACATTCCATCGGATACGACCTTCGGAGTGGAGCCATCCTCAGTGCCTTTGCCGTCTTCCTCCACTCTGAACTCAAAGTCAACGCTCTTCTTAGGTCCATTTGTGTTGATTTTACTAAAAGAACAGATGAAAACTCAAGATAACGGGAACAAACTCAAGATGTCCTAATTAACATAGCCGGCTTGACCTAGATGGCAGTCGAGTAGTCTTCGTGCATGTGCCCCCAATGACTAGCCCAACTCAGTTGTCACTGTTTAACCCTCGTAGTGATCCGAAGCACATGACACCTAATTTTGCGAGATGACAAGAAACCTTTTTTTAGATTTCTCACCAGAACTACAACCCTGTACAACACAGCCTGCAGACGATAGCCAATCTAGGCGTGTCTGCTAGAGTCTGGTCACATGCATGGACGAACTAATCTTCCGTGTCTTGCAGGGATCATCCAGGCACCAACGTATGTACAACACTTCTTTAGTACTATTGCTCGTCTCTCTCTTCTATTAACTCACCCGACTTGCGGGGTCGGGAAGTGTGCCTATGGTCGGTTCTTAATTGTGCTCCCAAATGTGTGTGCAAATGCAATATGACGTGTGTTCCATTCGGAGAGCGGCGTGCCAAACCGACCGACCGGTGCGACGCGAACGCGACGGGCGTGCTATATACTCCGTACAAGTGTACCACTGTTTTCTTGAGGCCTTGCTCCATGGCGCAATCCATGGATACAAAATTAGTATACTGTACTATTTAAAAGTTGAGGGCGGGACTTTTCCTACGCGGTAGGCGGGACAGTTCCGCCTAGTCGGTTCGACAGAGACGCGAGAAGATGAGGGAGTAGACTGCTGCAAACGTAGGGTTGTGTGATTTGACAGCGAGTTACTGCTGGACAAGTGGGGCCCCATGATTTGACTTGCCATTATCATTTTAACTGCGATGCTACGACCGGCGTGAGTCTCCCGATTCCTGACCACCTCCATACAGGTGCCTCTCCTAATGCTCCACCATGTAGAGGCTGACTCTTGCATGAGAGCCCACTCCTCCACTTTTTCCTTGCCTCTTTCCTCCGCATATGCAAAAATGCCATGTAAAGTGGGCTTATAGCCCACTATTGTGGTTACTTGCTCCTACAGGTGCTAAGCCTGCCACATAGGTATAAAGTCTGATGTGGCAAATTAATTAAGAAGAGAGAGACTAGTTTGGTGACCCAAGGAAGAAACAGTGCTAAGCGCGTGTACCTAGGTGAAAAGACAATTTCGAGTCTATAGCTAAATTAAATGAAGCAAACTTAGCAACAAAAAACTAAGCACCTATGCATTGGGGACTTGATTGCTAAGCCATTTAATGCCCTTAGCACCTCATCTAAGCACCATTTCATTGGAAGAGGTCACTCTTTGGCAAATGCAATAAATACTACAAAGAAAGAGATAGAGAGAAGTAAAAAAATACTCTTATAGCCAACCTTATAGCTAACCTTGTTGTAGTATGAGTGACTAAGTGATGACTATGTATGACATGCCAACATCATATAACCTAACGCACCGTGTTAAATCTCCAAGGGCGTGACCGTGCGAGCGAGGCGACGATTGTGGTAGGCGCGACCATGATACGGGCTGCTGGCAGCCCTTGGATCTGAGATTGAACGGTTGCATGCTAAGTTGCTGAAAATTTGCAGAAAACCCTCCAGGATAGGATATTCACCCATAGGTCTAGAATCACGCCATGCAACCTTCGATCTCAAATCCAAGGGCTCTCGGAAGCCCGTATCTTGGGAGAATGGAAAGCTTCGTATCACCTGTAATTTTCCCGATGCTTGACATGACATCGAAAGCCATTTAATTGGGTGTCGAGTAGACATGACATCTAATTGGGCCCATAGTACTGTGCATGAATCCATTTATCCACCAGGCAAGCCACTACCCTGTCGTTCGCACGCCCCACTCAGCATTTTTACAATCAAAAAACACTGGCAGTTCGCTCCTACTCGTCCCCGGACGTCCTTTAACATTATGATAGTTCGCTCCTAGTCGACCCGTCCTTTCACATTACGGCAGTTCCACTAATCCTAACCCTCCTACCAAATCCATGGCATCCCAAATCTCCATGATCGGTGGTGAGTGATACGTATCCGTCGTATCTACTTTTCCAAACACTTTTGCCCTTGTTTTGGACTCTAACTTGCATGATTTGAATGGAACTAATCCGGCCTGACGATGTTTTCAGCAGAACTGTCATGGTGTTATTTTTGTGCAGAAATAAAAGTTCTCAGAATGACGTGAAAATCCACGAAGCAAATTTTCAGAATTAATAAAAAACATTGGTGAAAGGTAGGATTGAAAGTATGTCAAGAGGGGGGGGTGATTAGACTACTTGAGCAAATAAAACTTATCCTTTTCCCAATTTTAGTCTTTGGCAGATTTTAGCTATCTTAGCACAAGTCAAGCAATCTTAACACAATTCAAGCAAGCATGCAAAGAGTATATGAGCAGCGGAAAGTAAAGCATGCAACTTGCAAGAATGTAAAGGGAAGGGTTTGGAGAATTCAAACGCAATTTGGAGACACGGTGATTTTTGAGCCGTGGTTCCGATAGGTGGTGCTATCGTACATCCACGTTGATGGAGACTTCAACCCACGAAGGATAACGGTTGTGCGAGTCCGCGGAGGGCTCCACCCATGAAGGGTCCACGAAGAAGCAACCTTGTCTATCCCACCATGGCCGTCGCCCACGAAGGACTTGCCTCACTAGCGGTAGATCTTCACGAAGTAGGCGATCTCCTTGCCCTTACAAACTCCTTGGTTCAACTCCACAATCTTGTCGGAGGCTCCCAAGTGACACCTAGCCAATCTAGGAGACACCACTCTCCAAGAAGTAACAAATGGTGTGCTGATGATGAACTCCTTGCTCTTGTGCTTCAAATGATAGTCTCCCCAACACTCAACTCTCTCTCACAGGATTTGGATTTGGTGGAAAGAAGATTTGAGTGGAAAGCAACTTGGGGAAGGCTAGAGATCAAGATTCATATGGTAGGAATGGAATATCTTGGCCTCAACACATGAGTAGGTGGTTCCTTCTCAGAAACAGCAAGTTGGAAGTGTAGGTTTGTTCTGATGGCTCTCTCCACGAATGAAGAGGAGGTGGAGGGGTATATATAGCCTCTCCACAAAATCTAACCATTACACACAACTTGCCGAACTCGGTGGGACCGAATTGGTAAACTCGGTCAGACCGATTCAGCAAATCTAGTGACCGTTAGGATTTTCGATGGGACCGACATGCAACTCGGTAGGACCGATATGGTTAGGGTTAGGGCATAACGTAATCTCGGTGAGACCGATTACACAAACTCGGTAGGACCGATTTTGGTAATAAGCTAACCAGAGAGTTGGTCAGGTAAACTCGGTGGGACCGATTCGCTCATTTCGGTGGGACCGAAATGTTACGAAAAGGAAACAGGGAGTTTACATTGCAATCTCGGTGGGGCCGATCGCTCATCTCGGTGGTACCGAGATGTTACGAAGGGAAACAGAGAGATTACAACCCCATCTCGGTGAGACCGAGATCCCTATCGGTGAGACCGATTTGCCTAGGGTTTGTGGCAGTTGCTATGACATCTGAACTCGGAGGCACCGGGTAGAAAGAATCGGTGGGGCTGAGTTTGACTTTTGGGTTCAGGTCATATGTGGATATGAGAAAGTAGTTGAGGGTTTTGGAGCATATCACTAAGCACTGTAGAGCAAGAAACTCATTAAGCAACACATCATCCCTCCTTGATAGTATTGGCTTTTCCTATAGACTCAATGTGATCTTGGATCACTAAAATATAAAATGTAGAGTCTTGAGCTTTTGAGCTTGGGCCGATCCTTTTCTCCTTAGCATTTTGAGGGATCCACTTTTCTCATCCATGCCATGCCATTCATTGAGCTTTTCCTGAAATATTCATCTTGGAATGATGTTAGCTCAATGAGCTATATGTTGTTAGGAATTACCAAAACCACCTAGGGATAGTTGCACTTTCAATCTTCCCCTTTTTGGTAATTGATGACAACATATATATCAAAGCTTCGACAAATGATAATAAGAGTGAAAAACATTGTCGCTTTGAGAAGTATGTGATAAGCAGGAGCTCCCCCTAAATTTGTGCATAGTTTAAGATTTGCTTTGGACTGCAAATGCACAAGGAGTT